ATACTGGCAAAAGGGGCCAAAGTCTCCGGTTACAGCCTCAGCAACATCCTGGAATATATACTGGACAGTGAGGCGCTGAGCACAGACCTCCAAAAGTCCCAGAGCTGCCACCGGAGCGGTCACCAGAGCTGTCACAGGAGCTGTCACCATGTCGGTGAGGTTGCCTGGGGGTTCCCACTCTGCCTGTCTCCCTCCCATCCATTCATGCCTCTGGGTGGGAGTGGAGGGGGTGGTGGTCTTAGATTCCCCATCAGTAGAGCGAGGCTAGATCTGTTCAGCATGGAGGGTCACCACTCCCCACCACTGACCTGCAGAGGGAGCCAGAGCCTGTCTTGTCCCTTCTCTGGTGCCACGTGCCATGGCTGACTCATAGAGACCCTAGATAGGGTTTCTGAGGTCGAACAGCTGGTAGTTTTGAACTGCTGTCCTTGGGGTCAGCAGCCCAACTCATAACCACTACGCTACCAGAGCTCTCTTCTCTAGGGTTGTTTTTTCATCACGAATAGTAAGACGTAAAGTGAAGGAAGAAGCCCTACTGGACAGTGGGGTCACCTTTTGGTTCACCTTCCCTTCTCTAAACCAACAGGACAGAGTAGAACTGCTGCTTAATTAACCCTTACGGAAGCAGATTGCCTCATCTGGCTCCCAAGGAGTGGCTGATGGATTTGAACCAATGACCTTTCGGTTAGCAGCCCAACGCTTAACCCACATGCCACCCATCAGGACTCTTGTCCCTTCTCTACCCATATTATTATTTTTTTATTAGTAACAATAATAATAATTACAACTGCTCACATCTATTGGTGGTGCAGCAGCTAAGCACTTGGCTGACAACTGAAAGTTCAGTCATTGGAACCTATTAGCTGCTCTGTGGGAGCAAAGACCTGAAAATCTTCTCCTGTAAAGATTATAGCCTAGAAAACCCTATGGGGTAGTTCCACTCGGCCCTATAAGGGTCCCTATGAATTGAAAACTCCACAACACACTAGAACATCTAATGAACCTTTTCAAGATGAAGAAACTGAGGCTCAGATATTGAACTGCCCAATCTATAAATTGCAGGAGGTGAAGTAGATCCTGTGTTAAGCCCCTGGTACTTTGACTCCAAACCTGGCTCTGCTATAGCTTGCTGTGTGCTCTTGGGCAAGTCACTGTCCTTCTCTGAGCCTCAGTCTCTGCATCTGTGTAATGGAATCACAGCAACCACCTTGTGAGGATTTGGTGGGATGCGGACCTGAAGAGGGTCATATGTGTGTCACAGGGAGGCCCACTGTGGCCCAGCGACCGTCCCACTTGCTCCTCCTCTCCACTGTGCCACCCCTCCCCTTGCTTTGCTGTCTCCCTTCTCTTCCAGGAACCACATTAGAGATGGGAGAATCCAGGCCCAGGAAGAGAGGGGCTGGCTTTGGCCTCAGGTCACCAAAGCTGGGAATAGACACAGGCTTCCAGACTCACAGCCCCTGGGCTCTATGACGCTCCCTCCTACCCCAGCTTTGCTTCCCTGTTGCCCCTCTCTGGGTCTCAGACTCCCCGTTTGATAAGTGAGGACAAAGAGCCTGGACCTACATACAACCCCAGATGCACATGCTGCTGGTACTCCAACTTCAGGTGACTCTGTGCTAGAGCAGAACTGCCCCCATCAGGTTTTCTTGGCCACAATCTTAACAAAAGCTGATTGCCAGGTCCTTTCTTCCAAGGTACCACTGAATAAGTTCAAACCCTCAACCTTTGTTGTTGTTGTCAGGTGCCATTGAGTCGGAACCAACTCATAGCAACCCCATGCACAGCAGAACGAAACAATGTCCGATCCTGGGCCAACCTCACTACCGCTGCCACACTTGATGCCATCAATGATGCCACCTGGCCGATCCATCTCGTTGGGGGTCTTCCTCTTTTTCTCTGACCCTCCATCTTACCAAGCATGATATCCTTCTCCAGCGACTGTTCCCTCCTGACAATATGTCCAAAGTAGGAGATCCGAAGTTTAGCCATCTAGGCCTCCAAGGAGCACTCTGGCTGCACTTCTTCCAAAATAGATCTATTGGTTCTGTTGGCAGCCCATGGTACTTTTAGTATTCTCCTCCAACACCACAATTCAAAGGCACCAATTCTTCTACGATCTTCCTTATTCACTGTTCAGCTCTTGCACGCATATGAGGTTATTGAAAATACCATGGCTTGTGTCAGGCGCACCCTAGTCCTCAAGCTGACATCTCTGCTCTTCAACACTTTAAAAAGTTCCTGTGCAGCAGATTTGCCCAATGCAATACGTCGTCTGATCGCTTGACTGCTGCTTCGGCGAATGTTGATAGCTGATCCAAGAAGAATGAAGTCCTTGACAACGTCAGTCTTTTCTCCGTTGATAAGAATGTTGTTTATTGGTCCAGGTAAACCTTTAGTTTAGTTTTATTGTTGTTGAGTACTATCAAGTCCGTTCCAACCCACAGTGACCCTATATAGGGTTTCCGAGGAGCGGCTGATGAACTTGAACTGCCGACCTTGCAGATCAAACTGACTTTTCAGTCCAGTGCATTAACCCACAACAACACACCAGGACTCCCTAGTGGTCATTTGTTGTTGTTGTTAGGTGCCATCGAGTCGGTACCAACTCATAGCGACCTTATGCACATGCATATGAGGTTAATGAAAATACCTTGGGTCAGGTGCATTTTTGCTCTTCAACACTTTAAAAAGGTCTTGTGCAGCAGATTTGCCTAATGCAATATGTTTGATCTCTTGACTGCTGTTTCCGTGTGAGTGTTGATAGTTGATCCAAGAAGAATGAAGTCTTTGACAACTTCAATCTTTTCTCTGTTGATAAGAATGTTGTTTATTTTATCCAGTGGTGAGGATTTTTGTTTTCTTTACATTGAGATGTAATCCATACTGAAGGCTGTGCTCTTTGATCTTCATCAGTAAGTGTCAGATGAGTGGTGAGCCATAAAGATTTACAGCCCATAAACCCTCTACAGGCAGTGGGATGGCTCCATACAGTAAGCACTGACTACAAACCATAAGGTGTGTGGTTAGAGCCTGCAAGCCACTCTTTCAGATAAGGATGAGGCTTTCTGCTCCTGTGAAGATTTAAAACCTCAGAAACTCTATCCGGGGTTGTTATGAGTCAGAACCAACCCAGGACACTTAACAACAACAAACAGGGTTGCTATCAGTTGGAACTGACTTGATGGCACCTAATGACAACTAGAAGGATATCATGTTTGGTAAGGCGGAGGATCAGAGAAAAAGAGAAAGACCCCCAGTGAGATGAATTGGCCAAGTGGCAGCATTGATGGACTCAAGCATGGCAACAGTAGTGAGGTTGGCCTAAGATGAGGCAGTGTTTCGTTCTGCTGTGCGTAAGGTCACTATGAATCGGTACCGACTTGATGGCACCTAACAACAACAACTCATCTGTCAGGTTGTTTTACTGTGGTGACTTGAGTGTTGTCGTGATGCTGGAAGCTATGCCACTGGTATTTTAAATGCTAGCAGGGTACACCATGGTTGACAGGTTTCAGCTGCGCTTCCAGATCAAGACAGATTAAGAAGGAGAAGAAGGAGCTCTGGTAGCGTAGTGGTTACAAATCGGGCTACTAATCGCATGGTCAGCAGTTCGAAACTACCAGCCGTTCTATGGGAGAAAGATGAGGCTTTCTGCTCCCGTAAAGACTTACAGCCTTGGAAACCCTATGCAGGGTCGCTATGAGTTGGAACTGACTCCACAGCACATAATAACAACAAGGAGAGGTGGAATACTTCTGAATGTTTAGCCACTAAAACCCATGGACAATGAACAAGGGTAGACCAGAGAAGAATTAATGCATTTGAGTTTAGAGAAGAATATTGAAAGTACCACAGACTGCCAGAAGAACTAACAAATCTGTGTTGGAAGAAGTACATCCAGAATGCTCCTTAGAAGTTAGAATGGCCAGACTTCGTCTCTCACACTTCAAACATGTTATCAGGAGGGACCATTTCCTGGAGAAGGACATGCTTGGTAAAGTGGAGGCTCAGTGAGAAAGAGGAAATCCCCCAATGAGATGCATTGCCTCAGTGGCAGCACCAATGGGTTTAGTAACAATCGTGAGGGTGGTACATGACCAGGCAGTGTTTTGTTCCGCTGTGCAGAGGGTCCTATGAGTCCATACTGTCTAGATGGCGCCTAACAACAACAGTCTTTACAGGAGCAGCAAACCTCATCTTCTTCCCACAGAGCTGCTGGTGGGTTTGAACTGCTGATCTTGTGCTTAGTTGTCCAGTGTTTATCTTACAGCATTACCTAGTTGTACTAGTGAGGGACCTCCAGTGGGGCTATTGTACCCCTGACCCTGGCCTTTCTCATTCCTCCCACTCATCGCCCCCACTGCAGCAATGTCTACCCAACCCTTCAGTTCTATTTCAGCCTTCAGCCTCCAGGCAGTTCAAGGTACTATAGAGGAAGAAGGGGTGATCCTCCCCACCTAGCCCCAGCTCTCCCACCCTCATTTTGGGCAGGGGGGATAGGCAAAACACAGAGAAGTCTGGGAGACTTCTCACATGATGCGCAGTGTTAGGCGTGTGCGCAGAGCAGGAATCTATGAGCTCTGGCTATGAGGTATCAATGCCATTTTCACCCCTATGGGGGCACTGATACTAGCCTCACTGGCTAGACCTCCTCCCCACATGGGAGAGTCCTTTGTGAGTAAGAGGCTGACCGAGTGTTTTAACTCCGTCTGGCTCCAAAGACCATGCTGCAATTCTTACACTTAACACTGATCGGAGGGTTAGCTCTCCCACATCCAAGTCTCCCCCCAACCCCCCATCCCCACCAGACAGGGAGATTTTGTCATCAAGGAGCAAACACTAGGAAATGATCTTCACCTGTGGGGGAGTGTGTGCTCCTGGTATTAGTGGCTAGAGGCCAGGGAGGCTGCGCAATCTTCTACAGTACACAGGGCACAGTGAAGGGGATTTCCTAGGGCAACTCTCATGGAATGCTTCTGTTGATTTAGGAACAACTCGAGATCAAGAATATGAACATGAAGACAGGGATAACCTTGAAGATCAAGGGCAAGATTGCTGATGATGCTAAGGGGTAAGAGAGGTGGGGGTGGGGAGCTGTGCACAGACCTGGAGCCGCCAGGGACGGGACAGGGGTGGGGGTGGACGGTAGGCAGGGCAGCCCTTTGAATAGCACTAGGGAAGCATCAGGGCCAGACCTCAGACCTCAGTGACCATTGGCCAAGGGGGCCCTGGCGCCCTCGCTCTTTCTCATTTTAGGAGGCTGGGATTGGAGACCTGAGAATTTCAAAGCCATTGCCATGTACTTGGCTTCTTGGTCCCAAACACCACTAAGGTGGAGGAACCTTGAAAGCCCCCATAAGGCAGGTACCTCTACTCAAAGCCCAGCCCCCCAAGTTATTGTTAAGTGCCATCGAGTCAGTTCCCACTGTCTAGGGCTTCCGAGGAGTAGGTGGTGGGTTTGAACTGCCCATCTTACGGTCCAGTGCTTTATCCTGCAGCGCCATACCAGGACTCCAAACCCCTAGAAACATGAGGGTTGGCTGGCCAGAGGATCACTTTTCAGGCATATTAAGCCAAGGGTTTGCCACTAGGGGGCGCCAAGTGATTTTTTTCCCCCCCTGCAGTGTTATTTGCGTAGAACATGGAGCCCTTGCAGTGTAGTGTTATCAGCTGGGCTGTTAACCGTAATAAGGTCAGCAGTCGGAATTTGTCAGTTACTCTGTGGGAGAAAGAAGCTTTCTGCTTCTGTCGAGATTTACAGCCTTGGAAACCCTAAACAGGGTCACTATGAGTCGGGACTGACTCAATAGCACACCACAGAGGCATCTCCCTACCTCGGGACTATAGTCCAGCATTAGGTTTACCTGTATGCAGAAGAACTCCAGCTATTCTGGAGACTCATCCCCATCAACTCTTGGTTGGAAAGAGGAAGCAGACAGACTCAATAGAGTAGCAACCAAAAGGAAAACAATCCTTTGTTCCTACTTGGGTTCCTTGAGATTGCAGAAATGTGGGCTACTCCTGAGACCTCCAAATGAAGATACCCCAAGACCCAGAACACCCTTCTCTTAGGGATCCTGAAGGCTCCTGTAGTGGTACTGCCAAGAGGTCATGCAATTCCAATTGCATACCTCAAGTGATAGGGAGTTCATGACCTTTGGTTGGTACCCGTTTTATAGTTAAACTTCAGGGGTCTTCAGAGATCCAAGGACAGCCACTCTGTCCTCTAGGATGTTGTTGTTGTCAAGTGTCGTAGAGTCAATTCTGACCCATAGCGACCCTGTATAGGGTTTCCAAGGAGCAGATGGTGAGCTTGAACTGCCGACCTTGCAGTTCAAACAGTTTTGCAGTCTGGTACATTAACTCACAGCGCCACACCAGAACTCCATCCTCTAGGATAGACAACCCCAATTTCTAACCCGTCGCTATCAGTTCCCCTCCTGTCAGCATCTTTGGTCAGTAATTGGTCACAATCACATGGAATGTAATTGTGATTCTGCAGTGCCACGTCTGGTTGGATTGTCCCCTTCCTGGCTCTAAGGCAGAGACCTTGATTCGTGCAACCTTTCTTTGATGACTCTTCTATCCTGTGGTCAACCCAAACACCTAAACACCCCTAGTCCAAAGGTATTTTATCTGGGGGTAACCCTTAAACCTCCTCCTGCAGCTTTGCGATAGAACTGGGCCAGTCTGCTGACAAACTGAACCTGCACTTCAACCCACGCTTCAATGAGTCCACCATCGTCTGCAACTCTCGGGATGGTAACTGGGGCAAAGAGCAACGGGACAATCACCTGAGCTTCAGTCCAGGGTCAGAGGTCAAGGTGAGGTCCAAGGGGAAAAGGGGCTAGGACAGTTGTCAAGGAGAGAGCAGTTACTAGGGGAACGCTAGCCTGGGCACTGCCCTGGCTAGTTTCCCAGGTAATTTCTGTGTCCTTGACAACCTCCTTCTCCCCACAGTTCACTGTGACCTTTGAGAAAGACAAGTTCTTGGTGAAGTTACCTGATGAATACACAGTGACCTTTCCCAACCGGCTGGGCCACGATCACCTGAACTACCTGGTCGTGAAGGGTGGGCTCAAGGTCTCTTCCTTAAAGATTGAATGAGTGGACTGCACCAGCCACAGTAACACACCTCAGCCCAGGTTCCCTCCCAAGCCCACCTGGTCACAGCAATCCTGTGGTCCAGGCTCTCAGCCACCCACTCCCTGCAGTTCCCACCCCTCTGACCCATTCTTCTCCCTCAAGGAGAGCGACCCCAAGAATCTGTTTAATCACACCTTTCCATGAATGGAGTGTTTTCTTTAGTATTTTAATGCTCATGAGAAGGGTAAACTGAAGCACAAGGACACAAGACTGTCATATGTGTGTGTGGGAAGCTGGGAGAGGTCACCAGACAGACCCAAGCTCCCCACTTGCCAGCAAGTGGGTTCTGCCTCACAGCGCCCTCACGTGTGCAGAGTAGAACTGCTCCACAGAGCCTTCAGAGCTGTGACCTTTCATCAGCAGATTGCCAGTCCGCTGTTCTGAAGTGCCTCTGGGTGGGCTTGAACCACCAACCTGTGGGCTAGTAGTTAAGTACTTCAATGTTTGTAGTTCCCAGTGATCCCTCTGCCCCGCCCGTCGGCCTGTCTGTGCGCTATTATCACAGAGCATGAGCCAAGTTGCCCCATAGGATTATGGGGTAGACATTGGCTCCAAGCACCTGGACAGGGGCTGTTCCCGGAACTGCAGATAAGGGCCCCCACCTGGGCTTCTTATCACAGGGACATTCCAGTTTGATTACTCATTGACCCCTGCCTGGACCCTCACTAGGGGTCCTGAAACTCCCTGGACAGGGAGGGTGTTTAGGTGAGTGGGACAGAAGCCCTTCTCTCCAGTTCCCCCGCCCCACCCCATGAAAAGGTCCCCAAGCATCTCACAGAGCTTGATTTATCAAAAAGCCCTTTTTAATCCAGCCTCAGAGGGCCCAGGCTCCACAGGGAGGAGGGATGTCTCCCTGTGAGCTCACACCTGCCCTTTCTCCAGGCTTCTATTATGAAGGGCAGCTTGGGACTGGGCTCGCAGGCACACAGCAGGGACCCTACTGGGAGTGGGGGACAGCCCCAGAGTGAGCTGGGGGCAGGCCCCCTTTGGGAGAGGAGACAATGGCCCTGTGTACCACGTCCCCACCTCCCACCCAATGACGACAGCTTCCCACAAAGGCTGCACTGTGAGGCTGGCTGAAGAGGGGGCAGCACAGGGAGGGGGGGCACGCAAGAAATGGCCGCTGGGTGTAGTGGCAGTTGGGGGAGCCCCGAGTCCCAGACAAGCCTGGTTCCCTTTGTTCTCTCCCCTCATGTCTGTCCTGCAGAGGCGTGGAGGGACTTGGGGTAACTCGGGTTCTTGAGGCCAGCCAAGACCCCAGCCCCACTCACACCTTGACTTCATCGTCTTCCTCAGCATCGGCAAACACAAACGTGTTTGCTTGGACTGTGCTGGGCACGGGGGCCCAGCTGCTGGCCTGGGAGGCTCCCCGCTCTTCATCCAGGCTCTCCCAGGAGGCCCGGGGCTGGGGCAGCACCTCTGTCAACTCCTGCCGGGCATCCATATTGGTGTGGTGGTGGCTGCCTGCCCGACCTGCTCCCCAGTGCCTACCAGGGGCCATGTCAGCAGGTGCACGGGATCCCCCTGCAACTGGGTTGGGCCTCGCCTCAGTCTCTGGGCCTGACCCAGTTAACCCATTAGGGCAGAGTCCACGGGGCCATGGGCTTGGAGAATTGGTGGCAGGGGCTGCGGGGTTCAAGGTGGAAACTGGGGGGTTTGAGGTGGGAGCTGGGGGGTTCGTGAGGGGCACTGGGGTGGAGGTCTCAGTTGCAGGGTTTTCGGAGAGGCTCATGACCCCCAGCAGCTCACTGAGGAGGGAGGGCCCAAGGTCAAGGTCAAGACGGAAGGACAGGAGGGAGTCAGAGCGGCGGAGTTCAGTCCCAGAGGAGAAGGAGCTCTCGAGTTCACGGTCTCGGGACTTTTCTGGGCGGGGCAGGCGGGAGATGGTGCAGAACCCGGAGTCCAGGCCTGGAAGAGAAGTAGGGAAACAGAACTGGGGTCAGGCCCAAACTGGGGAGGTGAGAGCTGGGACCAATCCCAGTTTACAAGTCATTCCCCTCTCTGGCCTCAATTTTTCCCACCTTTCCAATGAGTAGGCCCCACAGCTCATAGTCTCTTATGTCATAATGACCATAGGGTTTCCAGGGAATAGATGGTGGGTTTGTGCTTAGCAGTCCACTGCTTATCCTACAGTGCCACATTAGGACTCCATCAAGCCAAGAATCTGCAAATTGACAATCCTCATTCCCATTCTGCAGATGAGGAAACTGAGACTCAATCTGGGACTAGAAGAGCCTTGCCCTGAACCAGAGTGTATGAGGTCTGGAGCTTAAAACTCTGACTTCAGTCCCAACAATGAACTTGGCCTTGACCAAGCCATTGAACTTGAGGTGAATTCATAACGTGTGGGCTGGTTTGAGAGTAGAGGTAGAGCGCACAGGGGCAATCGCTAAATTCTCCCCTCTCTCTTCGACTGGGGATTGGGTTGGGGGTTCGTGGACTAGTCTGGTGCTCCTTTGGACATGTGGCCCCCTCGGCCTCCCCTTCACTAATGCCTCTGGTACAGGGATCGAAGGAGCAATGGAAATATGCAGAGAAATTAGACTGGAAGGGCAACACATGCTCTCCAAAGGTCATCTGGTCCAGCCCCCTGCCTCCTGGATTGCCAGGCCTGAAACCTTCTGCTTACTGTGACCAGTCATCAAGGCCACAGGGAATGGCCACCAGGTGGCAGCATAAGCCCATTGTTCCCAGATTTGTGCTGTCCAGCAAAATTGAGGAGGCCCCTACCACTCCCTGCAGGGGCTAGAAGGGCCTCTGGTTTCTGTCCCTGTCACATTACAAAAGCCTCTGTCCAAATAACAAGGTCCAAGTATCCTGAGTACATACTATGTACTAGGCTCTGGGACCCGTACATCAGGTGCCTCATCTCAGCAAATCTTCACAATGACCCTAAAGGGCTTGAAGCTTCCCAAGGAGTGTTGGGCAGAATGAGGATTTGAATCCAGAGTCCAGGCTCAGAACCTCACCACGGTTACCATTCTGACAGCAGGGTTGCTTGGAGGGAGCAAGAGCGCTGAGCTGTTGTACCCCAGAGCCCAAACTCACCTGAGTCACATGGCAAGTTAGGGTCAGAAGTTATGAGAACTCAGCCTCTGAAAGCTGGACAAGTAACCCAGTCTCTCTTGGAGTCCTGGTGTGGCACTGTACAACAGGCACTTGACCATAAGGTCAGTTTGAACTGCAAGGTCGGTGGTTCAAATTCACCAGCCGCTCCTTGAGTTGCACCCTCACTCAACAGCACGTAACAACAATGCTCTCACCGTAGCTGGAATTGCCATCCGTAGAGCAAGCCGGGCTGCTGTCAAAACTGAGCTTGCTCACCACAAGGCTGTCATAGGTGGCCTGGTTGAGCTGGGGCAAGGATATGGCGTTTTTGATGATGGGAGAGATGGCAGGCGGTGCTGGTGAGGGCGTAGTCGGGGAGGCCATCCGCCGGGGCAGCACCCCCACCCTCCGCACCTGCTGCAGCTTCCTGGCCAGGAAGCTGCGGGGTGAGCGGTGGGTGCCCCCGGAGTTGCCGCCATGGTTGCTGAGGAAGGAGGTGTCACCGAAGACATCCCCGCCGCGGCCCACGTGCATGGTGTGGCGGAAGTCCCCGAGCGGAGGGCTGATCATGTCCGATGTCAGCCTCCTCTTCCCTTGTGAGCTGGACACCCAGCCAACGGGTGAGAGCTTGCCGAAGCTCATGGTGGGGGCTCCTCCAGCCCCCTGGGGACCTGGCATCAGCTCTGGCTGCTCACAGCTGCTGGTCCATGCCCACAGGGCCGGGGGAAGGGGGACAGGCCAGGCTCAGCTCTCTCCCTCCTGATGGACAGTGGCCTTCTAAAATACTGCCCCCAAATGCTGAGGCTGTTGGGGGCCCATGGCTCGTCTCTCCAGAAATCACTAAGTTCACGCTGTAGGTCTTGGTTCTTGGGACGCAGCTGCAGATGTTTTACTGGAGAACAGGTGGAAGATCCCTCTCCTGCCTGGGGCCCAAGACCTGGAAGGGCAGAGAGGCAGGTGATGAGATGTTACACCTAACAACATGAATGGGGCTCACCAACAAAATGCTGAGTAGCAGGCTAGACGCAAAGGGAGACACGCTGAGCAAGTCCACTGATGGGGTGTTCAAGAGCAGACAACCAAATCAACTTAAACTGTGGTTGCCATTGAATGGGGAGTGACAGAGAGGGGGCACTAAAAAAAAAAAAACACAAAAACGGACTGAGCTATATCACTCTGCCGAGCCCACTCCCATTCCACACTCTCCACAACCCTGAGAGAGACACTCTTATTAGAGAGGAGAGAAACTGAGGCATAGAGAAGTGAAGTGACTTGCCCAAGGCCACAGTGCCAGAGCCCTTAAACAGCTTTATTGCCTCCTACTGGCCTGTGGGTGCAGATGTGTCCCACCCCAAGGAGAGGAGGGACCAGGAGGCAAGGAGGTGAAGTGCTGGGCAAACATCTCCCCAAAGGCTCCTCAGAAACTCTAGTCTTCAAGGAGCTTCCAGGAAAAAGGATCTTGTGGACAAAGTGGCTTTTCCCAAGCTGCTTCCTGCATGTCTGAGTATATTCAAGGCTCCGATTAGGCTCACAGGAAAGAGCTTTTATCTAGTATGTCAAACTGAGGTTAAGAGCCTTGTTGGAGAACATCTTTTGGAAAAAGTTCAACTGGTGTCAAAAGATCCCCTCCTGACCTACCTCCCACATCCTCTCAGCTCCACCCATGTCTAAATTCTCATTGTCCTCTCTTTCTGACCTCAATCCTTTTGTTGTTCCTGTTGTTGTTGTTAGGTGTCATCGAATCGGTACCAACCCATAGCGACCTTATGCACAGCAGCACGTAACACTGCCTGATCTTGAGCCAACCTCACTATTGTTGCCACGCTTGAGTCCATCGATGGGGGTCTTCCTCTTTTTCTCTGACCCTCCACCCTACCAAACATGATATCCTTCTCCAGTGACTGGTCCCTCCTGACAATATGTC